TACATTAAATAAAATTTAAAAACACAAACTAAAAAATCTCTATTAATTTTAAAAAAATCTCAAAAGTACAATCCAGCTTTTGCAAATGAAGCTTTCTTACGTTAGATTTTAACAGAAAATAACCACCAAACGGTCAAAATAACCACCTATTTATTACCGTTAAAGGTTGGGGTTAGGGGGTTCGTGTCCGGACTCCGGACCGAGAGATAAAACGGCAGACGGAATCTACCTCATCAAGTACCAGCATCTACCTGACATCTCCAACCAATATCCGCCACGTCACCACGGCTTCATTTCTTGTCGTTTTCTCGGTACCCTTTACCCTCTCACTCCCCGCACCCTTTCCTTTTCCTGTGTGCCGCAGAATAGACAATACCAGCCCTACTCTGATTCCCCCCAATACCATCACTCGCCGTCTGATTTTTCCGATACCCAGTCATCTCCACCGTCCAATCCCCTTCCTCCTTTTTAACTCCACTCCTCCCCGTCCTCTCCTTTTCGCTATCTTTCTTCTTCTTCTTCTTCTTCTTCCTCCTCCTCCTCCCTCCCTCTCCCTCCGTCTCCGCCCGACCCAAGCTCCGTCAATCCAAGGACGAGACCCGATTCCCTCCGCTCCGCGGAAATTCTGCTGGACTTCACTCCAGTTAGTTCCAGATCGCGCCGGCGTTTTCCTTCTTAGTCCGGTCGAGTCAGAACGTTTAACTTCCTTGCTTCTCCAGATCGTTCTCGTAACTATCCCTGTTGTATTTTTCTTTTCTCTTTATGACTTTTGAATTTCGGTTTCTTTGAGTGGTTTTGGGTAGTTTCTGGTCTTCGGAGAAGGGAATTTACTGCTTCTCAGCCGATCGTCGGAGGACTGGGATTTGGATTTTGCTTCGATTTTCCTTTTGGTGAGTTGTGAAGAGGGAAAATCTTGTTTTTCTTGATTCATGGAGGAGAATGATTGCAAGGCGAATAAAACGGCGTCGACTAGCGAAACTTTGGATGTGGTGATGGGTTGTGTGATAAATTACATAGAGGATCCCAAGGACCGGGACGCGGTGTCGATGGTATGTCATCGGTGGTACGAGCTCGACGCGTTGACGCGGAAGCACGTAACGATTGCGCTGTGTTACACGACCAAACCCGAGCGGCTTCAAAAGAGATTCGGCCACCTCGTATCGCTGAAACTCAAGGGGAAGCCTAGGGCGGCTATGTTCAATTTGATACCGGACAATTGGGGTGGCTATGTGAGGCCGTGGGTGAGAGAGATTGCGGAGAATTTCCATCAGTTGAAAGCGCTTCATTTTCGACGGATGATTGTTACTGATGCAGATCTGAAACTTTTGGCTAGGTCTCGCGGGAAGGCCTTGGAGGTTTTGAAAATTGATAGGTGCATGGGGTTCTCAACTGACGGGTTATTTCACGTGGCTCGCTCGTGCAGGTAATTTTTCACCTTCTTTTTGGGTTTGGATATCTGGGCAGTTCTTTGGTGGTTTGAGTTTCAGAAAAATGATTACTTTTGTTACATAATTTGGAGTTTTAATCATGAATTCTTCATATAGTTGTGGTGTTAATTTTGCAGGTATCTGGCACTTTTTTCTTTGATTGATTGGTTGTTATGGGCATGGTTATCAGATTTTTAATTAGTACTGTCTAGATGTTGAAATAAAGTTCGGCATTTTGATTGTGATTTTTAGTGTTAAACTCTGTCTAAGGTTGTTGTTGAGATGCTTAGTGGATTGATCTGGCTTGTGGTTCAACTGCAATTTGTTAGGCAATACTTGTTCTTTTAGGACTTGTTAATGGTATTGGTATTTTTCAGTATCTTGTTGTTTGTTTTCAGCTTTCCCCTTTGGTGGATGATTTTCGCCTTTCTTGTCTTATTTGATCTGGTAGGTTATGGGTTCATATGAAGTTCAAAGTGCTTTGTTTGGTAGCCACATACCATATGGCAGATGCTTAGTTTGCGTCACAATGAGTTTTCTTCCTTTTCTGGTCCTAAATAAAATTTCTTTCATTTGTTCTTTATTGGGTAGGAGATTTGAAGGATTGAAATTTATTACTCAAGCTTAAGTCCTCTGTTCTTAGATATTGTAAAACCTTCTATTTTGGTGACTGTAAAAGTGATGGAAATGCCATATGAAATACTGTGTAAAAAATATGTATTGCTGTTCTGTACCTGGTAGAGAAAATAAGTTTTTGAAGTTGCTTGAATATCTATTGCATCTTGAAACTTTGGAGGTTAGACTTCTGGAGTGCGTTTTGAGTATAAGGCATGAAGCAACATAGTAAAACTTCACTTCATTCCATGATTCTTGGGCTGTAACACAATCTTGTGTCACATCACATAATGAAATTTTACAAGGCACCAACGTAGCACTTTTGAACTCATAAAACAAGTTTTTACTTGACCAGTGAAATGCATCTTGTGTGCTTCATCTGGATATTACTAGTGGGGGTTCTAGAGAGAAGAAAGAATGCAGTTCTACAGGATCAAAGTGTAGTTTTAAATTGGTTCATCTCTTCTAAATTTTAGTGTATGCTTATGTTTTTAATATATCACTATATGTTTATACAGGCAACTAAAAACCTTATTTCTGGAAGAGAGCTCAGTTGAGGAGAAGGATGGTGCATGGCTACATGAGCTTGCAATTAATAACACTGTTCTTGAAATTTTAAATTTTTACATGATTGATCTTTCTCAAGTCAGTTTTCAAGACCTCGAACTTATAGCCAGGAATTGTCACTCCTTGGTCTCCGTGAAAATTAATGATTGTGAAATCCTTGATCTTGCTGGATTCTTTCATGCTGCAACTGCTTTAGAAGAGTTTTGTGGTGGTTCTTTCCGTAGTAGGCAAGATGACGAACTAGACGATTACTCTCTTGTAAGATTTCCCCCAAGATTGCGCTGTTTGGGTCTATCTTATATGGGAAGGAACGAAATGCCAATGGTATTCCCATTTGCAAATTTGCTCAGAAAATTGGATCTTCTCTATTCAATGCTTGGCACAGAGGATCATTGTCTGTTAATACAAAGATGCCCAAACTTAGAAGTTCTCGAGGTAGAGTTACAGCTGCTGGCCTTAATTATTTTGTTGTCATTATTATCTCGGAATTGTGTTTGTGCCTTCATAGTCTCATCCTTTCTTCCTCCCAATTGTTGCTCAAATTTACACTTTCCCTTGTTTTATGGTTTTTAAATGGTACTTAATGCCTGATACCTCTAATTTTAACTTTTCCCTTTGATATTGCAAATTGACCTTGTATGTTATTTGGGAGGATTAAATTCATGAGACAGTACAAAATGTCAAAGTGCTGAGGAATATATGCCTCTCTTTACTAACTCTGTAAATGCATGTTAATGACATATTTTCTGCATGTGCAGGCAAGGAATGTTATTGGAGATAGAGGTTTAGAAGTTCTTGCTAGGAGTTGTAAGAGACTGAAGAGGCTTAGGATTGAGCGAGGTGAAGATGAGCAGGGAATGGAGGATGAAGAAGGTGTGGTTTCACAAAGAGGGTTAATTGCTTTGGCTCAGGGCTGCCTTGAGTTAGAATATTTGGCTGTTTATGTTTCTGATATAACGAATGTGGCTTTACAATATATCGGGACATACTCAAAAAATCTCTCTGATTTTCGCCTAGTCTTGCTTGACCAAGTGGAGAGGATAACAGATTTGCCTCTTGACAATGGAGTCCGGGCTTTGTTGATGGGCTGCGAAAAGCTTAGGAGGTTTGCTCTGTATCTCAGACCTGGTGGTTTGACTGATGTGGGGCTCGGTTATATAGGGCGTTACAGCCCAAAAATAAGATGGATGCTTCTGGGGTATGTTGGGGAGACAGATGTAGGGCTTTTGGAGTTCTCTAAGGGATGCCCTAGCCTGCAGAAGTTAGAAATGAGGGGCTGTTTTTTCAGTGAGCGTGCACTAGCAGCTGCTGTGTTACAACTGACTTCTTTGAGGTATTTGTGGGTGCAAGGGTATAGATCAACACTTGATGGTCGAGATCTTGTAGCAATGGCTCGTCCGTATTGGAATATTGAGTTTATTCCTGCTACAGTTATGAACGATCATGCTGGAGATGAGCACATAATAGTTGAGCAACCAGCAGTTGAGCAACCAGCCCAAGTACTGGCATATTATTCTCTTGCTGGACCAAGAACAGATTTTCCAGATTCTGTCATTCCTTTAAACCGTTAGTTTCCACGTAAAGCTGTATGGCAAACTCTTTTCGAAGTTGTCCTTTAGTTTTCCGTTCACATCCTGTCCATAAAGTTCATGCACATTTCACTTTTTCTTTAGAGATTTTCAACTTGATTTTGAATTTTCTATTATTTTCTGGACCTTGTCATGTAACAAAAATTATGCTTTCTTTTGTAATCTGGAATTACTTGCTCCCTTGGTGGGCAACTGTCTCACTTTCATTCCTTGTCAGTGGCGAGTAGATATCAAGTTTTGTTAGGGGACAGAAAGTGAGGATGTTAAAGTTCCTGTATTAGCAGGAAGACTTTTCTGTATTTGTAATGACTAATTCGATTGTGAACTTTTTCTCGATTTTTATCTTTGTAATGCACAATGTAACATTACCATGCCAATATGCCATGAATGTATGTCGAGAGAATTACGAAGCTTGTTAATGCTTGGAATGATTCCTTGAATGGTGATTGGTTGAATGTTGGTTTTTG